ATTAATAGCAAATAAGGATTTAAAGTTATACTTGCATTTAAGGTAACTTTATTAAACTGAATGTCAATTTTAATAATTTTATTCTGAAAAGTTGTTTAGATTTCTTTGGATTGCATTAAAATAATTTTAATGCAAATAAATCTAATAAGAATATTTTGACAATAAGCATACAAGTTCTTCAATAAAATAATGTCAATCACTAAATAAACTTGTTGATCAAATTTTAAGGTTATGAAAGAAAAAGTTTTTAAGACATATGCAATTCTCTACTCATAAACATCATTTACTATAAAAATTATTACAGTGTTTAAGGTTTACAAAAAATCAAAGTTATAATATCTGAATGTGAAAAAAATTTATGCAACTCTGCAACCAACACTTCATCTTTTATTGTATACACACTCATCAATTGAGAAAGACTCATTTGGAATCTTTCCAAACAATCAGCATTTTCAATTTTTTTGACTTTACCAGGGTATAAGTTCCCTCATACCTGATGAAACAAAATGAATTTTCAACAAGCTGCTGGTATTTGGTGTTAGTAAATGTCATAAATACTCTATTTTGAGACACAAATTTTTTCAATATTATCTTTGTCTTGCTCAAATTGAAAAATCACATTTAATCACAATAACAGTTAATTACTTGGATTTGTTTATTGTCACAAGTCATCAGGTTGAGTCACAATAAACTCTTTTATAGTATAACCATGATCTTCGAAAGCACGTGCATTGTTCACTTGTTCCAATAAAAGAACTGCATGATTTTCAGACTTATGTAAAACAATAAATTGCTCATTGTCCCCAATAACTTGATAAACATTTTTTTTTTTTTAGATTATCCAACATTGAGTAAAACATCAATATTTCACAATATATCCACGTTGTTCATGTCAAAAACAGCAAAAATTATATATAAACATGTCAATCAATACTATCGTATTTTGGGTCAAAAAAATTTGGTATTGAAAATATTTTTTACACCTACCTTTGACGCATACAACGTGCGCTTACGCTTGTAAGTGTCATTTGCATGCGCAAAATATGATTTAAATTTAAAAACATCGGATTTCTTGATCCAAAATACCATATAAAAGTGTACCACATGTTTTTTTATACGTGTTAGAGTCTTTAACGCGCACAAAGAATGACTAAATTTAAAAAAATTAAATTCTTCAAACTAAAACATTCACTAATTAAAAAGAAAAATTGGATTTAAAAAATATTTTATTATTATTATAACATTATTAAAATACAAAATAAAAATTTATCTTATCTGATTTTTTATTCAAGAAAGCAAAAGAGAAAACCTAATATTAATAAAAAAAAGCTTTATTTCATTATTACAGCATTAACAAAGATAAAGTTTTAGGGTTAAGTGTTTTTCCATTTTCAATCTTGTATTTTTTGAAACTAATGTTTGATATTATTGGATCACTTCTAATCAACAGGTATGGGAACTGATTTACTGGTTTACTAATACATCAGTATTAGGATTGGTATTAATTTAATAATTAAATCTACTGCCACTCCCGTAATATCAGTGAAAGTTTCAGCATTTTCAAATGCCCTTCTGGCAGTGTTTCCATTGTTAGTGTTGCCAAAGCCCTGTTTAGGCTTATCTAGTATAAGCTCCTCTCTAAACCTTAGTTGAATGTTTTTTTTCATACTTTTCACTGATGCTTTTTCAGCAGGGGATTTGGCAAAGTAATTTTTAATGTTTAATTTGTATCCTAAATGTAAAATATATTCAAAAGATCTGAGCCAGCAATGCAGCAGTAGAAAGACCTAAAGATAAAGCTTTTCATTGATTGGTTTAGATCTGATCAATTCTGGGTTATTAAGTTCACTGGGCTTAGCTCCGCAAACATTACATGATTGGTAGGATAGAGTGTTAGTAAGGGCATTAACCACTTTACCATCAAACATGGTTAAATCTAGTTTGAACTGTGATAGTCGTATCCGGTTCGCCTTCCTCTATTTCTAAATTTACTTCAAACTTGACTGGAAAATACTTTGCTAGTTAACTAGGGTCTCACCATTATTTGCATCAGTTTATTTTTGTTTATAGACACTTTGACTGGAGGCACCATCAAAACCATCTTTAAAGTGAAGTAGACCTTTAAACTTTCCCCTAAATTTCTGCAAACATTCTCATAGAGTCTTGGCATTCCGTAAAAGTTAATATCCTTGTCAGAGTATGATTAAACATACACTGTAGAGGAGTTGAAGCAGATGTTTCTGTCACAATTAAACTCTCAGGATAACATTTGTGTCTCTCGTTCTTATTTTTTGTGAAGTAAAGGATAAATGCATTATGTATTATTGTTGAATTTCTAATAATTTGATACTATTCATCAGAAAGGTCACGCTGAACCTTTAAGCTTAAGGTATCTTCGGTTTTCATTTTTATCAGAAAGTTTATCTCATTTTCATGAGAACAACTAAACTTTTCATGAGAACAACGAAATCATTGTTAATCATTGTCAACGAAATCATCATATTTCATGAGAACAATGAAACTTTTCATGATAGCAACAAAATCTTTTTTGGTAGGATCTCTAGCTTTTTTACTTAAAGCTAATGCTTCAGCAGGATGTTCAGCAATGCTTCAGCAGGATGTTCAGTCAATTCGGCAACCTTAAACAAGATAATATTTAATATTTAAGCTTGTAAGCTAATATTTAAACTGGGTTGAATTTAATTTATTTATTATTACCTTAGATCTTCTGCTTCTATCACCTAAATCTTTCCAGTTCTTGCTCTTTCTACTCGACCTGCTGCAAAGTTTTTTTTGTCAAAGTTACATCTTTGTTCAACCAAGTTTGCTTGTGTTCTAAAAGTCTAGAAAAGGTTTTTGAATATTTCTGCAATTTTGATCGGAATTTACATTTAAAAATTATTAGAGTTTTCTTTAGATTTAACATTTCAGGTTTATCAATACTTTCATAGTATAGTCCCTCCAGTCTACAAAACTCACGTAGAAGAGTTTTGAGTAAATTATCATGATTAATTCTTAACTCTTAAATTATAGGGACTAAATATATTCTTTTCATGTTTAATGTAAGCAATGAACTATTGTTGGTTATTTTATACGCAAGTTTTAATTTTAAAACACGCACTATAACATCTGTTGCATATTTTGGTTTTGAGGTTGGATAATTAGTACCAATTAGCATAAGTTTTTTTACTAATAGGAACTAAATGTATTATTTGTGTGATCAAATCTAGCAATGAACTATTGTTCGCTACTTTATGCACAAGTTATAATTAAAAATGGGGTGGGGGTGGGAAACGAAGTATTTAAAAGACCTTATTTTAATTGGGGCAAGTTGGAGCAAATAATTTTTATTTTTTTTGCTTTCATATGTACCTATTAATGGGAAAAGATTAAAACTATCATGGAATCTAGTGGAATCTTTTAGTTTTTGAACTAAACTCATAGTTAAACTAATTTAAAAAAATCAATTTATGACACATTTTTAAGATTTCAGTAATGAAAATCTAAAATTAAAATTTATTGTTAAAAATGTTGTTAATAGTTACCAAACATCTTAAACATATGACTTTAAATTAAATTTTGAACTGTTTTTCCCATATCAATCTTAAAAGAGTGACACTAAAGCAAGACTTTTTTGAACGAGTTTTCTGATAAATAAAATAAATAAGTCTCAGAAAAAGGCGTATAAATTGGTGAAATCTTAAAAATTATTCAAAAAAAAATTATTTATTGTCTTTTAGTGGTATTTAGTTACATTATAATTTTATTATTTTCAAGCAATAATTTTTTATAAGGGTTTTTTTGCCGTTTTTTATGGGTTTTGACTCACTGTGCAGCATTAGCCCTCTTGTCATGGAGAATTTAGGCAGAAAAATCAGCGTTATTTTACAAAAAATATATATATATTTGTCGTAAAAAACATTTAAAAAAAAAGGTCCTCAAATTTTAATTTGGGCGGTGCCCAAATATAGTCTACACTGTCGAAAATGTTCTAGAATAGTCCCTGATATATATATTATTTATTTTGTATTATTGCAATGTTACCCAGACAGCAAGAAAAACATTTTTGGGTAAAATTGAATATTTAAAGTTACCCTGATTTTGGTTATATTTTAGCTAAGCGGAAATTTTTTAGAATGACTGTATGAAAAAGTTAATTACTGTTGCGCACAGCACGCTATAAACATTAGTTCAGCTTTTATTTTTTTTTTTTTTATTTTTTTTGATAAAAAATAACACCTAAAATATCTTTCCTTAATCAGTAATATTAAAAATAATAACATCAATGTTCTGAGTTGTATTCACAGAGTTTTCCTCATCTATACCATTATTTAATGGAAAAAATGGAGTTGCCCTAATATATATATATATATATATATATATATATATATATATATATATATATATATATATATATATATATATATATATATATATATATATATATATATATATATATATATATATAAATTAGTAAAAACACTTATCTAATTCCTGGTTTAATTTCTAAATATAGATTTAATATATTAAAATATATAATATATAATCTAATTTCAAAAAAAGCTTTTACTAATTAATTATTACTTTGTTCTTTAAAAACATTGAGCACTCTATTTGTAGAATACACTAACATAATATATATATATATATATATATATATATATATATATATATATATATTATATATATATATCCAATATGATATCCAGCTATTATTTTAAGATATTGTTATTGGTATTTTAAGAAAACACCTTTTCCATGTTTTTTTGTTAAAAAATACATTGAACTCAGATTATTTCACTTTATTTTACTAAACTTTATGACTTTTAAATATTTTTAAAAATTTTAATTTTTTTAGTATTATTTTAATTTTTTTTTAAAAGAATCTTTTTTTGTATTGATTATTTTTATTAAATATAAACACTGAAAAGATAACAAAGAATGAAAGAAATGAATGGTTTATAATTTTAAAGTATATTTTATAGTATTTTTACATGTAGAATATTGAAGAAAAAATCAAAGCATGTGGAAAGGATTACATAATTATATTACTATCTGAAATATTTCCAGCAAAACTAGATTTATTTGAAGGAATTGATTCGTAAGTTTTTATTTTTTATTTATTAACTTTTGCTTAAAAAATGATTAAGCATAAAAAGTTGTTTTAGTATATTTACCTCACAATTTAATTTCGTAATGAGTTTTATAATAGTTCACCCTACTGTGTTGGACACATAGTACCTATGTAGAACTATGTCATAACTGTAGTAGAATTTTAATCGCATTTGTAAAATTTGCACATTTTTCTATTATGTTTTTGTTTTTTTTTTTTCCTAAATACTGTGTATTTAGGAAAAAAAGTACCATATACCGGGATTAATTGAGTACTTTTTTCCCAGAGTTTTTACATATACTAAGCATGTTTTAAGGTGTTTGTTTTTTGTTTTTTAATTTTCTTGGATTTTTTTTTTTTTATATTCAGAGAATGTACTTATTTAGTCATTTAGCCCACATTATGGAGCTATAAGAGTACACTCATTACTTTAGCATGGAAAACATAAACCCACCTGTAGGGGTTAAATTAGTACACCATTAGAGTTTAAAAAAAGTGACACCTATATGTAAGCAACATTTTAAACAAAAATATCATCCAATTAAGGATTGTACAGTTATTTTTTTAAAAGGTATAAATTAGTAGTCTTTTTTTTTTACAATTTTTAACAACTGAGCTCAAATGTTATAAGACTATATCTCGAATACTGACAATGGAAATATTTAGTTGTGAAAAACTGGCCACATTTTTAAGTCGTTTTGAGAACATTTAAGTTTATGTACGTAACAAAGAATTTTTGTTTTACGGACATACATGGAAACATAATAAACTTTAATGTTCTCAAAACATCTTGGTGCAGAAGAATAAAAAGAAATTCGCGAACACTAAAAACCCGCCAAATTTACGAACAAACTAATTCTCTTGGTTCAAAAAGTACGCTGACTAAGCGAAATAAAGTTCTAGAGTAAATTAAATTATTTTAAGAATATATTATCTTTACTATGGCTCATTCTTGGAGCCACATCTGCAAAGCTGCAAATCTCTTAAATAATCTCTATTATTATTTGTTTACAAAAATAAATCTTTTATAATATATATTTTTTAAATTGTCAAAATTTTTAAAGTTTATTATAAATTATAGATTTTATTAGTATATTTTTTATTTAAAAAGTATGCATTTTTTATGTAAATGTAATTTTGTATATCTGTTTTTTATCGTAATGTTATCTTTTAAAGCAATTTTTATTATTTAATTTGTAAACAAAGACTTACAAAAATAATTGCATTTTCAATGAAATTATTAATAATTATCAAAGTTAATAAAAATAATTATGTAACAAACATATAAGAAGTTTCTTAAACACAAACAAAGCATACAAAGTAACTCGCGGATGAACAAGCACCACGCCTGAGGTTGCAAATATATATAGCAAGTTATTAGATATAAGTAAAAGTTTCTAGATATTGGTTTACTAACTCTAATTATTTTTGCTTCAGTTGCCATTTATAAAAACTCGTTACACTTTTTTCTGCTTTAAATACTAATTAAAATTAAAAAGCCCACTCACTAAACATCATCAGCGATATTGTGAAGCAGTTTCGCTTCCTGGTCATTAAGTATTTTTAACCTTTTTAGTTGATTTCTATCTAGTTAATTTAACTTCTATAGTAATTCAATAATTTAATTATTTCATTTGTTCATCTTACTAAGAAGAATTGTTTCAAATATGTTAAACTTTTTAAACTACGCAAAGCATAAAATAGATATTAAAAAAATTAACTTTTTTATTTATAAAATAATTTAGCTTAGATAAAACTAAAACTTACGTTAGTTTTATTAGAATCTTGTTACACTTTTCGGGGCCAGGGGCTATTATAGTCATGTCTTATTTCCAGGTGCTATCTAGCACTGGAAATAAGGCACGAATATATAAATAAAAATTATATTTCAGTCTTTGTTAAATAAAGAACATTTGTTTCTTTTTTCAATAATTGTAAGGTGTTACTTTATATAAAAAATGTTGCTTAATTTTATTTAAAAATTATAAAAGAGCGATGTTTCAATGTAAAAAAAAATGTAAAAAAAATCTTCAAAAGTAGGTCAAAAAAAGCAGAAATTATGTAAAAGTTTTAATCATATTTGTTTTTGTGACCTGTAGTGTGGGCTATCATTCTGGTGAAATGATAGCCCACACTATGGGGATTAGTGATCAACCAAAACAGAAAAAAAGCCATAACCAAAATAAACCAAAATTTTGGGTACTCAAATTTGGTGCCGAAATGGAAATTTTGGCAAATATTTTATCGAAACCAATACCAAAATTTTGGCTAGTCAAAATTTATTTTGTTAGAAAAATTTATTTAAAAATGCAATTTTACATTCGTTGTTTTTTTATACTCGTATAATGTTAAAATTACTTACACATGTATCCCAAATTGAGATTTAATATATAAGTTGGTAATATAAGTTAATAGCGAAATTTAACAACTGGCAGATTTTCTCTGCAAAACAAAATTTTTTGGAGGTATTTTGTGAAAATTCTAAAAAATAACTGTTTTTCTAAATTAGATAAATATCGGTTTTCGGTATGTTTTTCAACCGAATGTTCGGTTTTTACCATATTTATAAAAAGTACTGAAACCGAAATTTTGGTATCGGTTTAAATTGAAATTTCTACCAAAACCAATACCAAAACAGAATTTCTGTTGAGCACTAATGGGGATTACATAGATATATGTATCAAAATCAGATTATAACATCCTGGCAAGTTATTTACATTTTAATTTTCATCCCAGTAAACACAAAATGTGTTTAAAACGTTTAATAAACGTGTTAATACGTATTATAGACATATTATACTGAGATATTTTATTGATTGCACAAACATGCAAAATGACAGCTTAATTTGCTTTTTACAGTAGTAAAAGTCTCCAATTTACATCAATATAAACAAGTAAAACAAAATATGTTCTTGAAGTTATACAAGTAACAAACATAAACATAAAATATATTTACAAATAAAATTGTTTTTTTTACATGGAACAAATTCTATAACAATTCATTTTTAAACCCCTTCTTAAACTACTGTTTGTTATTGAAGTCAACAAGGCAACATTGTAACTTACTGTATTGTGGATAATGATTGGGCCTTTTGTACCTTTGCCAATATATCTGAATGTTGTGGTGCATTGCTTCTGTTGTCTGTTCTGCGTAAAGCCTAAGAGCTTGATCATGTTTGTCAATGAAATCTTTCACGGAAAAACACTGGATGGTTAAATTCCTAATCTTACAAAATAATCAACTCAAATTCATGCAAAATGTTAGTTTAATTTTCTTGAAGCTCCTCCTGAAGCTTGAAGCACCTCCTGAAGAGACAGCAATAATGAGTTGTTGTTTGACACCAGTGTTGTTAAAAACTTTGCTTGTGCGCTAAAGTTTTGCTGAGGCAATGCTAGGTTTATAATTTAATTCAACAACTCCCATGCTAACTTTCAGAAACCCCCTCCTTCATAAAATCCAACCTTTACAATATGATTTTTCGACATACTTCTCATGGCAATAATTTCATTTTAAAGCTAATGGAAGTCTTTGCCTTGCTTGCTAAATTCATCAAATTTTATGAAGTAATTTTTTTCAACAATCTGTTGTAAGGTTGACTGATAAATAGTAACTGCGATGCCATTGTTTGAAAGTCCTGTGTTTGCTTGAACTTGAGCAAGGTCTTTTACAGTTATTGATAAATTTGTGAAGAAAAAGTGTTTAGCTGATGATGAACCTATAATGAATGCAAAATGTTCAAAGTTTAACCTGTCATCAATTTGAACTATATAAAACTAAACTCATACCTTGTGTTGCTGAAAAATTCCTTCCACTATAAAGCTGAATTGAACTGTTTGAAGGAGCTTTATTTGAAACAAGAGCTGTAACTCTTTCTGGTGCCAAACAATCCTTTGTAACAATAGCTCTAAGATTGTTGTGCTCTAAGAAGCAACAAGATTATTTCTCAAAGTGCCTTTTGCAGTTGTGAAGCAATTTTGCAGTTTTGCAATTTTGCAGTTGTAAGGCAATCCTCTTTTGCAGTTGTGAATCCTCTTCCAATAATTGAAAAACATCTGAGCATCTTTTTTCTACTGTTGAAGGTGTTCTAACTGCTGAACTTTGTGCAAATTCAATTTTCATTTAACCATTGTTTCTCAGTTTTTTAATTGCACAGATCAAACAGTCTTAGTGAGAATCTTGAGTTTCTGGTTGAAGTTTTATAGTCTCAAACCCACATGTTTTTATAGTCTCAAACAGCATGTTTTTTAATATCAACAAACCTTTTTAAAAATCTTGTTGTTTTTATAAATCTTTTAACTCTGCAATAGAGGCAACAAATTCTGCCGTGTTTCCAGATTTCAGCTCACCCAAGGTTAGAAAAGTGATGAAATTTGCGGTCCTTAACTTCTACTCCTACAAAATTAATTTAACTGAAAAACTACAATAAGGTTGTACATTTTTCCAATTAACTGATCTTTTCTTTGGAGTTCTTTGTTAAGTATATTTTTTCTAATCATTAAGTTGTCTGTTGCAATAAAAGATTTTGTAAAAAATTCACATCGTCAAAGATTTCAAATGTCTTTTGCTTTTCAAGCAAAAAAGATTTAATTGGTTTTAATAGTTCTACAAACCTATAAAGAAGATGAAGGAAGAAGAGTTAAATTAGTTCATTACTTAGTTTTTTTTCTATTTTAGTCAACTAAATGTTAATTTTTTACAAATGTTTTTTCTTTTTTTAATTTTATATATATATTTTTAAATAAAGATAAAGTTTTAAATAGATAATGTTTTTAGCATGTTTATAATTTTATTGGTTTTTTTTTTAATCGTAACTTTTGTTAGTTACTGACATTAGTTACAGATGCTTGTTGAAGGATTAATAAGAATAAAATTTTATTTATGTATTTAACATGAAAAGTTAAATAAAATAAGACTGTTATTTGTGGACATGTAAGTTTATATACATAAGTTTGTGTTTATTTTTGTATATTTTATATTTCTCTACATCAATATGTATATTTTCTATTAGAAAAAAAAATAAGGATATGTTATAAATAAGTAACAATTAGCTAAATGAGCTACTAGATTATGTTACTGCTTGACTATTTTGCTATAAATATATACCAAAATGGTCAAGAAGTTTGTAATATATCGGTTGATTCGTCATTAGCTATCGAATAATACTGATATGACTTTAATTTTTCAACAAAAAATCAAATCATTAGCTATATATATATATATATATATATATATATATATATATATATATATATATATATATATATATATATATATATATATATATATATATATATATATATATATAGCTAATGATTTGATTTTTTGTTGAAAAATTGATATATGTATATATATATATATAAAATTGATATAAAAATTGATATAAAAATATATATAAAAATATATAAAAAATTGATGTATTTATGTATATATATATATATATATATATATATATATATATATAAATATATATATATATATATATATATATATATATATATATATATATATATATATATATATATATATATATATATATATATATATAAACATATATCACCTGTTCTTTGTATAATTGTTTGTCTTGAGAGTGAGATATTATTTATGATTTTTAATTTTTCATGGCAAATATTTCGCCAACACTGAATGGTTTACAATTTTTAGCTATAAAAAAAAACTTTACAACAGCAGCATTTTCTGTTTTAGTCTTGCTCTTTTTTGAAAATTTCTGCCTTAAATTTGTTGCCTCAAATTTTTGCTTTTGTCAAAGTAAATTTGCTGCCAAAACTTTTTATTAAATTGCTGCCAAAAAATTGAAACTTATCTTACAATTTTTTGCTTTTTCTTTTCATACCTCGTTGACAATCTGATTATAAGTTTTTTAATGTTTTAAATTTTAGCGCCTTCTTAAATTACTTTACACACTGAAACAGATTCGATACATATTAAACATACATCGAATTAAACATACTAGCATCGAATTAAATTCACCAAAAAAATTTGTTTGTCAGTTACCGTTAAATAAACGACATTCTTTGTCGATATTTGTTTGATGAAGATTTTGGCTAAATTTGAAATTTTTAATAATGATTACGAAGAAATTTTTAAAATAAAAAGATATTTTAAAGACTGAAACTAAGACAGAGAATTGTAAATATTTTATAAAAAAATTGTAAACTTTACATTTCTATGTAAAGTTATCTCTGTCAGTTATATTATTAATAAAAATTTATTATGTACGAATGTATACTCTCGAGTCCTTAATACAAGAAGAGGGGAGGGGATTTTAGTCCAGATTTAAAAAAAGGGGGATGGGTGGGAATTTTTTTATGTTACAACATTTTTTTTTTTTTAATTTCAGTTTATAAATCCGAAATAAAATTTTTTATAAAACACGCTTAAAGCCATTTAATTCTAGCGTGTCTTGCGGTCAAATGCGCATTTTCTGACAGTTGTTTTATCATAATTTCAATAGGATTTAATATGTTAATATAAGTTTTATACTTTGGTGAGAAATAAAAATTTAATTTAAATCTAATTTTCGACAAATCGAGATTTACTAGGTCATTTTTAAAGCCTGTTTATAATAAAAGTTTTTGATTTATCAGTAACTAAAAAAATTATTTTCTAAGGTCGATTTTCACTGATTTTTTTGTTGTTGTTGTTGTTGTTGTTTTGAGATATAAGGTTTTTGCTGACAACAAGTAAAAAATAATAAACGGGGGGGGGGGGGGCTTAATAAGCTTGGGATGAGTGCTCGGTGTAGTTAACACGATTTATAAGTTATTCGATTTCTTTTATTTGGAATTAACATGATTTTGTCACCGTATGATGTCCAAACAAGAGCCTTAGATGCTATAATATTTATTGCATCAAGTTTTCACAATGTTTAAAGAAACTTTTCTCTTTTTTACATAATTTTCAAAACTTTTTTATTACCCCTAATTGTGAATCTAAAGAACACCATTTTTGAATCTTTAGATCAATTTCGCTCAACTTTAACCCTATTGAGCAGAATTTTGAACTTTAAAAATTTTTTAGATGAAAATCTGTGAAAAAGTGCCTTAATCTACAATATATCCTAGCTCTAAACGGTTCTAGCATATATTAATTTAATATAATTGTGAAAACACAACATTTCTATTGATTTTCACAAAAAATATTGGAATTCCGACCATAAAAGAGCTTATAATTAAGAAAAATTGCCATTAAACCATTAAAACAGATCATATTATTAAACTATGATGTTCACCTAAAAAGCCTATTTAAAATCTTATTCGAATTTAAACAAGTGATCGTGATTTGAAGGTTGTTTTTTTAATAAAAAAGAATCTTTGGTCTCGGTTTTTTTTCGTAAAAAACATTTATACAAAATTTATTATTACAAAATGTATTATTTTAATTTTTTTCGTCTTTTCATGATTCACAGACCTGATTATTAAACGGAAATATATTGTGGTCAGCAAAATATTATATAGGCGCTATAATTATTAAAAATCGCCTTAATTACATCGAGTGGGAAAATTTTCTTAAAATTAATAAACGTCAACTCCCTCCTCCATCTCCCCTGCCCTCCCTTCCCCCCCCCCCCCCCCCCCTCCTCCTTATCATCCCATTATTAATGGTTATTTGAATATATATATATATATATATAAATATATATATATATATATATATATATATATATATATATATATATATATATATATATATATATATATATATATATATATATATATATATATATATATACAATAAACATAAATTATTATAATGTACTATAAATTATTATACATTATAATAATTAATTGTCTCATGATATTAAAAAATTTGTTTAGATGGATTCAAATCGCTTGTCCTCGTTTGTCAATTGACTGGGGGTTAGCTTTCAAAAAACCATTACTTTCTCCTTACGAGGTGTTTTTTTAATTTTCTTTCTTTTAATCTTATGCTTGATGCTTTCAAATTTATATTCATAACTATACGTAATTACTTTGCAGCTCGCTGTTGCGTTGGAGCAATGTTCGTGGCAGTCCATCTATCCGATGGATTATTATGCAAACGATAGTCTTGGTCCCTGGACTAATAATAATAAAGATCATTTTTCAGGAAAATTGGTGAAGAAAAGAAAAAATATAAAAATTGAAATGGAACATGATATTAAATAAAATTCGAATTTTTCAGAATTTTTGATACAACTCATACTATATATAGATTTATAGATAATATGAAACAAATTTGAACAAAACTTGAATGCTAAAATTAAATAAACTATAATAAAACAGTAAAATAATTTTTACATTAGAGCGATTGTAGTTTGTAATTTTGAAAGCTGTAATTGAAGTAGATTATTCTCTTAAAATTTGATAAGTTTTTAACAACTGTTCGAATGCAAACTAAAATCACGATCTACGTAAACAAGGCCGGGATTTATACTGGTGTGGGCCTTCGTGTCATGTGGATGTGGAGGCCACCATATAACCTGAGTTTAAATAATAGTTCACTTTTACTCATCTGAAGTAAACATTAATTTGCATACTTAATTTATACTTATTTTTCATAACGTTTTATTGTGTATAGTTAGCTTTCAAGGGAACAAAGCGATTTAAATATAGTTTAGTATCGTGTACTCGCTGCTGCAAATGTTAACTTGAGAAAAAATTATTTTAGGGTCTATAGCTTTGTAAAACACTATTTTTCTCTAATTTCTCAGCATTGACATTCTCTTGAGATTTTGCAAGTCAACTATCTCTCGTCGACAATCTGCGAAAAATTCGTTAAACTTACTTATATGCCCAAATAGCATATTCCTACAAACATTCTAATCGATTTTAACTACGAATTTTTAAATATTCTTTCTAAACTATTTAATATATTATCCATAAATGGAACTTTTCCTAATGTTTTATAATTATCTTGTGTTATTCCAATATTTAAAAACAACTCTAAACTTTTATGTACTAGCAACAGACCTTTTTCTTATTTATCTAACATTAGTAAGCTTCTTGAAAAACTAATGCATTCTAGAGTGTACTCTTTTCTTAACCCTTTTAACACTTTAAATGAATTTCAATTTGATTTCTGTTCAAAATATTCTACATGCCAAACATTGATAAGTATAACTGAAAGAACAGAAAGGCTCTCAACACTGGTCACTTTGTTTGTGGTATTTTTATAGATTTACGAAAAACTTTTGATACCGTTTATCCATAACATTTTGATTTCTAAATTAGAACACTATGGTATTCGTGGTATTGTTTATTGTCACTATGGTATTCGTGGTATTGTTTATTGTCACTATGGTATTCGTGGTATTGTTTATTGTCACTATGGTATTCGTGGTATCGTAAGGTTTCGATCTTATCTTACAGATCGGAAACAATTTGTATTAATGGTTATAATTGTACTAATAAATCTGTGCGGTGTTCCTCAAGATTCTGTTCTTGGTCCTCTTGTTCTTAATTTATGTTAATTACATAAACAACTCTATTCGCTTCTCGTCAATTCATCTATTTGCTGATGACACAAAGCTATTGCATATTAAAAAATCGTATAATTCTCTATGTAAAAACATAAATTCGGATCTAAAAGGTATTGTTCACTGATTAAATGTTAACTTAATATGTCTTAACGCCAAAAAAACTGAACGAATTTTTTTTCATCTCTAGAAAAAAACACAATCTAAACAATAGTTCTAAAATCCAAATCAAAATTAATAATAAACGGTTATACCCTACAAAAGTTATCAAATATCTCGGTGTTTTGACTGACTGCAATCTTTCGTGAAAGTTTCATAATGATGAGCAACGCAAAATTTACTTCGAGTTAACGGCGTACTTTCAATAATTCGTCATTAAATCGATAAATTTACAATAAAAAACATTTTTATCGCATTATTTTATCGCTTCTTAGTTACTGTTGTCAAATTTGGGGTCAAAATGGCAACTATCATATCAAAATATTTATGTCCTCTTAACATCAATCCATAATAGTCATAAAGTTCCAACCTGTAAAGTCAAAAACATCAGAATCTTTCAAAAAACTAAAAATTCCGACTTTTCCAACGTTTGTAAAATTTGCTAATCTTCTTTTTGTTTTTGACTCGCTTAATAAAAATTTACCCTCTTCTATAACAGACTTTTCAACAGAAAGTAGAAAACACATACATACTTTACTAGAAACATATATAATGGAAAACTTAGTATACCATCTTTTAAAACTAAAAAATATGGTAAACATTCTGTTGTCAATTAGTGCATTTGTGAATGGAACAAGAGTCTTTTATGTATAGTGAATGAGTTCAAAAAACTACAACTTCAAACACCCCTTATCGTCTTTTTTTAATCTTAAACAAAATCAATTTAAAAATATTCTGAGAACAGTTTTGTTTTAATTTATTGACATGATTTTCTCTTAATATTTGAAATATACTCTTATTTTTATAATTATGATTACCATTAACTACCATTAACTTCTTGTTTGTTTATTTTTTCATCAAAGGATGATTTTTAAATGTTTTCTTAGTTTATGTATGTTCTATGTGTGTATCCTTATTATTAATCATAATATATTTAAAAACTGGTGTCATTCCTTTGATCAGAATTCAGTTTAAGTGACACCATCCTTATCGATTATTTAGTTATTATTATTAAATACTTATAATTAATTTACTCATTATTATATTATTTTATGTTATTATTTTTTATATATATATATATATAGATAGATAGATAGATAGGGGAAACTGGTATAAAATGGGGTACTGGGAAAAAATGGTTTTTTGCAAATAGACTGTGTTCTGAGTGTGGAAACAACTAAATAGTGATTGATTTCGAATAATCATGTGACAAAATGCTACCATCAGTTGCACTAGTTTAAAATTTTAGCAAAATTTGTCTTAGCTAAGTAAAAATGACTTCAAATGAACTTTAATGTAATTCTACCGTGTCATATTATATGATGCAGTAATATATGATGCAGTGTTCTTTAAGAACAGAGATATGATGCAGTGTTCTTTAAGAACAGAGCAGTAGTAGTTAGTAATTGTAAAAATTTATACTAGAAAACTTTTTACTTTAGTATACTTTGTACTTTTTGGTAAAAAGTTTCTTATATAAATAATAATTGTTTTTCAAGATAAATAATAACATTATGAGAAAATATAAACGCACATCAAATCGATAGACATGGAGTGAAAGTGTCAAGCAGCAAGCAATTCTCTCCGTGATAAACGATGATTAAGGATATAAAAAAGCTGCCAAGGTGTGTAGTGTACAACAAACTACCCTTGAAAGGAGAGTAAAAAAGTTTCAAAAAAATCCAGCTATTAAAAAAGCATGTGAAAAGAGTAAGTTCAAATGATTATTTATTTATTTACAGTATAGATACAAAGTATTTAAAACATAATCAATATTATTAGCCTTTGAAAAGTTACATTTATAATACATTTATAACCTATTTTACACATTTAATCTTTTGGTGTTGGGCTATGATACGTATTACAGTCTTACACAAAATTATTAAATGTTTAAAAAATGTTATAAATGTCTTCTAATTAATTTTGAGGTGGTTAAATTAGTACTAATAAGCTATTTAAAACATCGCAAACAATTTGTCTATGTCGACGGATCTTCTTTACAAGATTATCTAAATATAACTTGTAGAGTACCACAGCGGTCTATACTAGGGCCTTTATTATTTCTAATTTATGTTAACGATCTCCATGAAGTCTCAAAATTAACAACAATAATGTTTGCTGATGATGCAAACCTATTCCTATCTAATAATAACATCGATAAACTTTTTTATGATATAAATATTGAACTAACTAAAATATCTGACTGGTTTAAGTCAAATAAACTTTCACTCAACATTGATAAAACTAAATGGATAAAAATAAATTTTTTTTCATCCACGATTTAAAAAATATTTACTTCCAAGTAATATACCTCTTCTTCATATTGATAATATTCAAATAAAAAGAGTAATTTTCACAAATTTTCCAGGATTTTCTAAGAATCACATCGGACATTTATGCAACAAAGTTGCAAAAAGCATTGAAGTTTTATATAAAGCAAGAAGCGTTTTAAACAAACATTCATTAACACAACTATATTACTCTTTTATACACTGTCATATTAATTATGCTAATATTGCATAGGGTAGTATCCATAAAAGTAACTTAAAGCCACTTTATTGTCAGCAGAAGCATATTGCACGTCTTAGAAATTTCAAAAATCGTTTTTACTTACTCAAGGCCGCTCTTATTTAATATGAATGTTTTTAATATATATCAAGTAAATGTTTATAATGTTCTATGTTTTATGTTTCAATGTAAAACCAACTTACCTCCAGCTTCCTTTTTCGATTTATATTCTTTAAAAGAAAAAAATAAATATTCTTTAAGAAATTATAATTTTATTAAACAACCAAAATTTAAAACAAACTTTGGTAAATTTTTTCGTGGAGCTTTTTTTATGGAACCAAATAATTTTAAAAACTTTTGATTTTTCTTATGAATGGAATTATTATATGTTCATAAGAAAACTAAAAAACCTAGTTTTCTCAATTGAAAATATATTTATATACTTTTAATTATACCCAGTTTTGTCATCACTCAATTATTTTTTACTTTTATACAATATTGATTTAAAGTTTATGTGAGAGATAATATTTAAACACTATTATTTGAATTTTGTTCAAAGTTGCACTGACATTATTTGTACAGTAGTTTATTATTATTTACTTGTTTACTTTAATTTTTATTTTAATTCATAATATTTGTAAATAATTTGTCTTACGAACGGTATATACTATAATTATTGAGTTTAATTTTATAATTAAAAAAAAATTAAAAAAAAATAATAAAAATATATATATATATATATTATTATAAAAAAAAAATTGGAAAAAAAATTAAAACAAAAAAAAAAAATTGATGTATGTGAATGAATGTATCTGCAAATATTGTATGTATGATACTTCTGGAAGTTAACCATCCTTTGACTGGTTTAGCATTTTTGTCGGTGGAAGTGTTAACGTAAACGCACCAACATTTGATAATTTTGGCTTCACACACAGAGACACCATCATTAAGCTTTCTAAATTCTTCTACACAATCTTTTGGACAACCTTGAAGTGCATTTGGATGTACCTAGCGCAATCGTATTCTTATTATTTTCAATTATTTATTAATTAATTAACAATTAAGATATTGTAATTGTAAGATACATTTGAATAACAAGATTCAGTGATCATATAGATGCGAGTAAGATGCGAGACGTATTTGTTTATCAAGAATATTATGATATTATTGTTTTTGCTTGAGTCATGCGATTCAGAAGAACTAGTGTTTTAATTCAAGCCATAAAGACCATAACTAAAGAAAAGTTTAAAGTTTGTATTTCTTTATTTTTATTTTTTTTTAATCTAAATTAAGTTCATAGTTCTTCAACAGCGGTTTTCGGTGACAAGACCTGTATGGTCTTCTTTGAGTATCCGCGTTCTTTATCTTTGTTCTTTATTTTTTTAACGGTTTCTTTGCATGTTTCTTATTGATATATTTATTAAATTTTGTAAGAAAGAACAAAAAAAAAAGATAAACGGTCAAACTTTATTTGTGAACTATGTCTATATATATATATATATATATATATATATATATATATATATATATATATATATATATATATATATATATATATATATATATATATATTGAATAAATTCTAAAACATATGCTATTGTTACATTGTATACCCCTAGCATGGGACAAAATGGTTTTTTTTCATAGATTTTTAAATGTTGAATAACTTTTTTTTTTTTAATGTTATTGGCGTTTTCTTTTGTCAGATCGTAGTTTATGTTGTCTCTTGTCATTAAAAACAAAAATTGTTTTGATTTTCATTATTTTTGACAATTTTTTGATGACTTTTCTTTAAGCACACCATTATACTCCAGTTTTTTTTTTTTTTTTTTTTTTTTTTTTAAATTATCTTCGCTTCCAACAAGGCTGCAAGCAACCACTTATTAGTGTTGGAAGTTACTGGAAGAGAAAAGATGAAGATTGGAGAGCAAGATAACGATTGACAGACGACTTAAAATATTGCAAATTATATGAATCAGGAAAGCAAGATGAAGGAAGCGAATTCCAAAGAACTGATGTTCGAGGAAAAAAACTAGACGAATAAGAGTTTTTGGAGCACTTAGGAACAGTAACAGAAAAAGGATGAGACTTAATTGAATGACGAGTAACACGAGAAAGAATTTTAGTAGGTGGCACAAGAGACGCTAGCTCTTTAGAGCAGTGCCCATTATAGTATTTGTAGAAAAGAGAAAGAGAAGCAACATTACGACGACGTGACAGAAGTTGAAGGTTGGCTGCAAGAGCAGGTCCAACTATGTTTACAATGCGTTTTTGCACCTTGTCTAAAAGAGAAAGGGCATCATTAGAAGATCCGCCCCAGATATGGCAACAGTATTCCATACAAGACCGGATTTGAGATTTATAGAGATAGAGAATAGAATCCAGAGTAAGAAAGTAACGAGCTCGATAAAGAGAAGCAACTTTAGCAGATGTTAATTTTGCAACGGATTTGATATAAGGTTTCCAATAAAGATCAGAAGTGAGAGTTAATCCTAAAAGATGAAGGGTAGGAGACTCATCGAGTACATTACCGTTCATAAATATAGGAAGGTCTAAACTATTGCGATAACGATTGGCCGAAAAAAATTGAGTTTTATCTGAATTAAAGTTCACCAGCCACTGCGAGCCCCATGCTGTAGCAGAAGTGAGATCCTTTTCTAGCTCAGATGCCCCCTGCAAGCAATCAGAGTGAGTTGGCTTCTTATCGTGACAAGAATAAATGGTAGTATCATCAGCGAACAATGCCACCTTAGATGTGAGAATATCTGGAAGATCGTTAATGTAAATTAAAAAGAGTATAGGGCCAAGGATTGAACCTTGGGGAACCCCTGAGGTTACAGAATAAGAAGAAGAGTGCTGTCCATCAAGGACAGCTTTTATACTACGATTGGAAAGAAAGGATTCAATAATCTAAAAGATGTTTCCAGATACACCATAAGAAGAAAGCTTATGGAGGAGACCAGCATGCCGAACTTTATCAAACGCTTTAGAAATGTCAAGAGCAATGGCCTTAACCTCTCCACCTTTATCTAATGCGCGATAAAACCTATCGGTTATTACTGATAGCAAATCAGCTGTAGAACGAGAAGGTCGAAATCCATATTGATGATCAGAAAGAAGGTTATGAGATTCGAGATTCGAGATTAAGTGTTTGTTAATTAAAGATTCAAAAACCTTGCTTATGATAGGAAGAAGACTAATGGGACAGTAGTTAGATGAATCAGATCGCTCTCCAGAATTTTTCAAAATAGGGATAACAGATGCTGCTTTCCAGCAGGCTGGAAAACAAGACTCTGATAAGCACTTGTTGAATAGTTTTGAAAAGATAGACGACAGCTCAGGAGAACACTTCTGCAAGACTATAACAGGTATGTTGTCCGGGCCGCAAGCTGTAGAGGAGTCTAAGCGGGAAATCACTTTAGATACAGAAGCTGAAGTGATACGAATGTCGAGCAATGGATCAACCTGTTTGACGGGTATATCAGGTAAAACGCAACTAGTGGCATCAAGAGATGATATTGATGAAAAGTTCTTGGCAAACAATTCAGCTTTGTCTTTAGGTGAGGTGACAAAGTCTGAACTGTACAAAAGAGATGGAATTACAGACTTGCCCTTATTTTTGATACTATTAAAGATTCTCCAGAAGTCACGAGAGCCTAATTTTTGTGATGAAATTCGAGATTTCATGATCTGAGAATAGCGGGTTTTGGCGTTAGACAAAACCTTTTTACAATGGTTCCTAGCAGTAATAAACAGACGTCTGTTTTCTGGAGAATTGTTTTGCTGATAGATATGGAAGTAGTTCGGGAAACCTGACTACCAGCCGGCCTCAGAACCATAAAACTGAGTTTTAGAGCTGTACCCTCATTTGGAGATAATAGAATGAGTTGCCTAGTCATAAAAACAGAGACACAAGCAAAACCCATGAATCGAGTCAAGAAGATCCAGCGTTTAACATCCTAAACTGGAAACAATGTATTAAAAATACATCTGCGCCAGCCTAATAGATGAAGGTGCGAGGCTGGTCAACAGATAGAATCTGTTTACCCCTTAAGTCTTTGCCTAGGAGGCCTTCTACAAGACAGCAGCCGGATGCATGTAACATCTGCCCAAGATGAGTATTTTTATCGAGACACCATCTCTAGCCTTTACTCAACCAAGAGCCCCAAGGCAGGGGGTGTTTTATGTCGGAGTTTGCATCTCCTAGCCTTTGCCTAAAAAGGCATATTCTACAAGGCAGCAGGACATGAAGCAGATTGTACTGGGTTACATGTTACCAGTAGCAGGATAAACCTGACCTGACAACTATATATTCCTCTATATATATATATATATATATATATATATATATATATATATATATATATATATATATATATATATATATATATATATATATATATATATGTAATTTTTTCCTTTAAAAATAATTCCATCATTTTTAAAGGAAAAAATAAGGAAATAATCCCTCAAATTCAGCACTGGTAAAGATTTCCTTAAAAAAAGGAAATATAATTTTAAGGAAATAGTTTTCCTTAATAAAAAGTTTCCTGAATGTAATTAACTAATCGAAGGGAATTTTTCCTTTCATTGAGAATTGTAATTAAGGCGATTTTTCCTGCTATAAGGAATGTAATTTAGGCAACATTCCCCGACATTGAGGAATTTAATTAATGGAATTTTTACTGACATTACTGATTGTAATTAAAGGATAATTTCCTGACAACATAAATTTTAAATAGGGCGTTATTAATTATTCCTGCCATTTAGAAATTTAATTAAGGGCATTTCCTGGTTTCAAAAAACAATATTACAGAATTGTTTTAATCGCTCACATTCAAAACAAAATTGTGTCATTTGGCAACGCTAAGGTTATTATTTTGAAACATGTACTAAAGCTAAATTACAAAATAGTTGCACGATGGGTAACAATCAAGATCTAAAAAATTATCATATATATTATATATATATATATATATATAATATTTATATGTTATATATATATATATATATATATATATATATATATATATAGTTTTTTTATTATTGCACTATCATTTTTTTGTTGCGTAAATAGACGCGGACTAATCTTTTAAAAATGCTGCAACAATGAATGGTTGGTATAACGGTTTGCAGCACCTTAATCTTGCAAATTGGATTACTTGTGGAAGTTTATTGAACTTAATATTTATAAATATTAACAAACTTTATAAAGTTTGGATAGAGTGGTTTGTCTGATGTCAAACTAAACTATTAGTTTATTTAATTATTGATAATCCTTTTATTGACACTTATTTGCTCGTAGGACATTCACTCAATTTGGTTGATTAAGTAGCTGCAGAATGTTGTCCTGTCGCTCTGGATTTTTTTGATGTGTTTAAGGCAGACTTATGGAGCCAGAGCCGTGGAGCCGGGTAGTCACTGTTTTTAGTAGAGCCGGAGACGGAGCCGCAAAAATCGAGCGGCTCTCGTGTTTCTTTAAAAAACTTAGAACAATAAAATATTTGAGCATTGTGAGTAAACTTAGAAAAACAAAATATTTATTGAAATGTAGAATGAAATTGTTTTCCCTATATTCAACCATATACCTAATTGATGGAAATTGCTTTTTTTATATTTAAATTCAAAACTCTATTGATGGAAAGTTACCAAAAACAATAAAAAATATAAAAAAATACAGTTCATACATTATTTACAAATACCACAAAACATTAACTTAGCACACATAAATTATAAATTAATTCAATTTTGTTGCATTAAAATAAATTTTTTACACTGAGAAACAAATGAAAAACGTGAGACAAAAAAAGAAGGAAAAAGCCATAACCGCAAAAGCCTTTGATTCTTAAAGTGCGGGTAGCGGATTGAAGACTTAAGGCTGTAGCCCCGAAGAGTCCAGGAATTTGTTTTTTGAGCTATATCAAAAGTTTTCGGTCAAGAGCTCCCCTATTAATTTAAGAAACATAGTTTAAAATTGACCAGTACGGTAAATATTTATAAAGTTCGAATTCTTGATTTTGTGCTTTAATGATATGAATCATCACTTAATTCATAACCAGAAAAAAAAAAATTTAATTTTAAAAGCGTTTTTTAAGTGCAGTATTATAAGTTTAGTTAAAAGTTTTATTGTAGTAGAAATACTGCTAACGATTAACAAACGACTTGTGCTCCTGGAATCTTGCTAAAAGCCTAAAAAAAAAAAGAATCATAAAGAGTAAACTTGAACAAACTTTTTTGTTTTAAGTGGTCAATAAAACTCAAACTTACTTTAGACAAATCAACGCCGGTAAGAGCTTGTATAGTAGGTGGTAACTGACCAATTAGCTTGGTAAGTTCACTTCCAACCTTGCTTCCTCCTTCATCGTCGTTTATTATTAGAATTTCCTCCGTTTTCCCAAGTGGTGCAGCAATTTCAGCAGCAATCTAAAGTATTTAAAACAATTATCGACAAAAAAATGAAAAAATTCTTAAAAAAAAAAATAAAGCTTAAGAGTAACGTTTTAAAAACAAAATTTGGACTTTATATCACATCTAGACATCTTTTATTTATATCACATCTAGACATCTTTTATTTATATCACATCTAGACATCTTTTATTTATATCACATCTAGACATCTTTTATTTATATCACATCTAGACATCTTTTATTTATATCACATCTAGACATCTTTTATTTATATCACATCTAGACATCTTTTATTTATATCACATCTAGACATCTTTTATTTATATCACATCTAGACATCTTTTATTTATATCACATCTAGACATCTTTTATTTATATCACATCTAGACATCTTTTATTTATATCACATCTAGACATCTTTTATTTATATCACATCTAGACATCTTTTATTTATATCACATCTAGACATCTTTTATTTATATCACATCTAGACATCTTTTATTTATATCACATCTAGACATCTTTTATTTATATCACATCTAGACATCTTTTATTTATATCACATCTAGACATCTTTTATTTATCACCCTATATTAAAATAATTAACATTATTTCGTTTTAGTTTTATTTATATTTGAACTTTATTTTTATCATTTAAGTTTTACTAGTTTTTAAAAATAAGCACATACATGTACAACAACAAAAAAAAAAAAATGTTTTTGTTTAAAAGAATTTTAAAGCACAAAGCATGTCTCACAAACATGTTAGAATATAACAATGTATACAAAATTTAGTGTTTTTGTCAACAACTAAAAACGAATACTGTAAAAAAATGTCAAAAAACTGTCAAGTTAAATTTTGAATATGACTCAACTTATATCAAGTCTATTAGAACCCTTTTTGTATGCAATCATTTGCGACAATTGAATCTATATATCAGAAAAAAGATAATTCTTGAAGTGAAAACTGTTTAACATTACGTTGCTAAAGTACTAATAAAATTAAATTAAACGATTTTAGACTTATCAAATTCTTTTAGGGATTTTTAATTTATGATATTAATCTACAAAATTACTAATTCTGAACCAGTGTTGTGATTAATTGCTGTGATTGAATGTTTAGAGAAATTTTTTTTTTTTACAAAAAATCATTTGATGCATAAAAAGAAAAATATAAAAACCTTTGGCATTGCTTCTAAGATTAGGGACATAAGAGCTGCATTGCCATATTGTTTATATGCTGCTGCTTTCTGTCGCATACGTTCTGCTTCAGCCTTTCCTATTGCTTCCATTGCAGCTGCTTCTGCTGCACCAATCATCTTAAAGCAAACTTGGTAACTTCAGCATATTTTTAATACAAAATATTAGTCACAAATAAATCACAATAATAAAGATCAACCGCTTTGATACAGACAGACTTACTTTGATTCTCTCAGCTTCTGCTTGAGCAGCATAGACTTTTTTGGTTCTTAATTGAAAACAAGTAAAATTTATAAAATTTAAAAAATATAACAGTTTTTAAAACAAAGTTATCAACATACTTTTCAGCCTCTGCACGTGCTTGCACTCTATAACTTTCAGCTTCAGCAGGAGACTTAACAGTTGATTGTAATTCAGTCTCTTTGCGCTCAATTTCTTTTTCTTCTACTTCAATGAGTTTTCTTCGCTCAATAACTTCTATCTGTATTTCCTCATTTCGTATCCTTTGCTTTTCTTTTGCAGCCTATGATTGAACAAACCAAAAATAATTTTGTTTATTAATGCATTCATAAATATTCAAATCTTTTGTATTTATTTTCAATATTTTGTGGATTTTTTGTTTGTAAGAAAACATTGACAAAAAACTTTTTTTCTAACTTTATCTCAACATTGTCAACTGATTTAAAAAAATCTTTAAAACACTAAAAGTTTATCTTAATATTTTGTGGAAGGAATAGTGCCATTTGTACATATCTTGAATTTTGTAAAAGATTTTTCAATAACTACATAGCAAATTACAACGATGTAATAAATTTAATCAATTTTTTTGATCAGGAATCATGCAATTAAAATAAGAAACTCAAATGATTTCAACAACCTTGTATAAGAGTAAAAAAAAAAAAAATTTCACTTTTTATTTAGGGTCATGGCATGGCTACTGTGAAGATGCACCTACCGTGGTTTTTGAAAAAAAAACAGTAAATTTTTAACTTTTTTATTTTTAATTAATTTTTTTAATATTGTTTTATACAAAACTAACTTATTTCAGTAATAATATATTTTTAAAGATTTGAAATGTTTTTTTCACCCGCAAATGGTTTTTTAAGAAAATCTTTAACAGTAAAAAAAAGTTTGTTTACTTTTTTTTATGGCTTAAAATTTATACACTTTTTTCGATAAAAGTTTAAAATAGTTGTAAAAAATTGAATATTAAAAAAAAAAATTTAATATTTTAAATCAAAAAGTATTAGTATTTTTTGTATAACATTGTTTAATCCTTTAAACAGTAGGTAATTACGAAAACTATATTAGCTAGCACTTACCGTTTATGGAAATATTTTTTCGAGCGTGTTTTATTTTTTGAAGTTTTCTCTCTAAAATATCATTTAAGTTAAAGTAATTTACCAATTAAAGGTAATATAACCCAAACCGAAGAAATAAAGTTGCTTTAACGTGTGAAACTTAATTAAGCTTACACACATTTGTTTACACACATTTGTTTTCAGTGGTCAGGAATATATTTGAGAAACTTTAATAATTTTTAACTAACATTATTAGATAGTTTTGATTAAACCAAATAAATTGACTTTTGTAACACTTTAATTAAACTATTGTACATATGGTAAAACTATAATAAATATAATAAAGGTAAGACTATTTAATGTCTTTTAATTCTATTACAAGGTAACAAAGCAATTGAAAACATGCTGATCAAATTTATTTGAACCAAAACCTGTTCTGCATCTGTAGATGTGTAGATTAGTTCTTAATATTAGGTTATTAGTTTTACCAATGTATGTTATTTTTCCATCACATCCATTACATGACAGAAAATAAATAATATTATGGAATTACATGACACTGAAGTTTTAATGCTCCATACTTTACCAGATTATGTTGCAAAATGGTTAAAAATGCAAAATGAATTTGAATATATAGATGCAAGGTACAAAAAATAAAAAAAATATTTGAAAAAAGCTTAGTATTCTGAAGAACAACTGTTTGTAGCACTTAGAGTTTTAAATAAAGGTGAAAAAAAATTTTGTCAGCAAAAATTTTAATGTTCCTGAAAGTACTTTACGCGACAAATTATCTGGTAAAAGCCAACCCAAACTCTTGCTTAAAAGCCAACCCAAACAGCAAAACTTTGGCTTTAAATCATATCTTGGAGAAGAAATAGAGAATGAATTGGTTAATGAAGTGCGCTAACATAGGTTTTACAATAACAAAAAAATTATTAAGACAGTACAAAAAATAGTTAAAGGCAAGGTATAAAAACACCATTTAGAGATATCCCAAGTAAAAACTGGTTTTATAAACTTATGCGCCGTCATAAGGAATTATTGCGAAAACGAGCAGAGCATATTAGTAGAGCCAGAGGTCTTATAACTGAAGCATCAACAAGAAAATGGTTTAATAAGGTGTATGAATCATTAGGTGATGATGCGCAATACCTTAATAATCCATCTCTGTTTTTAATTTAGACGAAATTGGTTTTGAGTTAGCACCAAAAACTGGAAAAGTAATTGACATTAGAGGAAGAAATGTTTATGAAGAATGCAACAACAGCAACAAGGAAAACTTTACAACTCTATTTTGCGTAAATGCAAATGGTGAATTTGCACCATCATTAACTTTGTACTAGTATGCTCCAATGCCAAAACCTATTGCTGCTGCTGCACCACCAGGTCGTAGTCTTGGTAAAAGTGACAACGCTAGATGACCGGTGAATGCTTCACAAATGTGTTAGTACCATATTTGAAATCTATTAATACATAATAAAATGATTTTAATGAAATTCGCAAAATAAAAATGTACCAATGTTGTTGAATAATTTTGTTATGGATCCAAATATTAAAAAAAATATTAACGGATTTAAGTCGACAGGAATATTCCCTTTTAATGCGAATAATGTTGATTATAAAAAAGTAATTCAACGTATTAAATCGAATTCTACAATTGATAATAATGAAACAAATCTTTCAAGCCATAATAATGTGGGTAACATATTTGAAAATAACGTTGCGCCTAAGGTATTGCTCCAATTTGAAAAAACTGGAAATAAAGAATGGGGAGGAAAAACTAACTTCAGAGAATTATTTAATTTTCAGAAAAAACTAAAATTTAACAATAGCTCCAAACAAACCAATAATTTAATAGAAGCCAACAATAATGTATCGAACAATAAAATCGATAAAGAACTGTATTTAGATATCAGCAGTACGCAAAATGAAAATGGATCTAGTAATATTAGCGAATTCGGAAAAAGCGTAATAATTGATGAATCCGGTGAAAGTAAATCAGCAACAGATCCACCACATTCAAACAAACAAAAAATAAAAGATATAGATCCAATACACGATTTTCTTTTATGACCAAAACAACCAATCACGAAAAAAAAGGCTGAAAAGAGTTAGACAATTACAGAGTATTGTAACCTCATTCAAATGGTTAGAGATTTAAATAACTATAGAAAATGCAACGGAAGAAGAAGATATAAAAAATAATTGAAATAAAAATAAAATGAAAAAAAAGAATTTAATGAAAAAGAAAAACAAGAAAAATCTAAAAGAAAACAAACTGTTACAAAAGAAAATAAAAATAAAAAACAAAAAAAACAAAAAAATTTTTAAAAAGAATTAAAAAAGAAAAAATATATGATTTTTTTCATACACAGTAGGTGGAGAATCGATTACAGTAGGTGCTTTATCACGCTAAGTTAAGAAACGTACTAGATCTTACAAAAAATTAAAAATAATATTAAAAAAATAAGCAATACAAATTGTTTACAAAATATTGACAAAATTTTTTTTATTAGTTAATAATTGTTCATCCAACTATTTACCTCATTAAATCAACTAAACAACTATTTACCTCATTTAGTTAAACATGAGCCAGAATGTAATTAGATTAATGAAAGCCTATTTTAGAACATCGTTTGTATAAAAATTGATGAGTGAAAAAAAGAAAAAAAGTCTTCTAATGTTTGCTAGATGCATACAAACCTTTTAAAAACCACAAGGATCAAAACATGTATTACCCAATGATGATTATTTTAACACTACCAAGTCAGCAATGAATGATGAAGAGTTTACATCATGTCTAGATAGTATTACACCTATACCTTAGGTAGTATATATAATGTTCTAAAGGGCATGATGTATATTACCTGATAGTGGAAAAGTTAAATTGATTAAAAAGTCTGCATTGCTACCTTTAACAACCTCAAAATTTTCTAAAATATCTAATACAAGTTTGTTTTTATAAATATCCTGCAGTACTTGATACTTTAGTAAAAAAATACTTATTCTTCAGTTTTATTGCAGTAAACAAACTTAATTGTGGAGTAAGAATTATCAAAAAATCAATCTGATATACAAAACTTCTTTTACTAAATATTTTTCATACTTTTTATAAAAGTGTATATGTTTAACAATTTTGTATTAATTTAAAAAAATTGCTTGATTATCTTTCATAGACTTAAAAAACTTCCCATAAATCAAACATTTGTTTAATCAAATATCTATATGAATGAACTTTGTACTATGAAAAAAAGTAAATTTCTAATTTACCTGTAATTGATAAGCCAGTTCAGCTTCAGCATTTTTTGCATTTACTTCTTGATCAAAAGACGCTTTTTGCATTTGATACTCTCTAGAAGAATCAGCTATAGATGTATCCGCTTTATAACGAGCATTTTGACGTAATCGATCACTTTCTGCTTCCTAAAAAAAATATATCAATTAATTCTTACTTAGATCTTCACTGATGATTTAAGTTAAAAAAATAATAATAAAATAAATAGATACTGCCTGTCTTTTGGAAAAAAAAGGCACTGAATCAATCAACCAATTTGGGTTTCATTTTCCAGGTTTTTCAGAGAGTACAAATCACTTACCTGCTTCTTGATTTGTGTCTAGTCTCTGACAGTCTCTTCTCATGGTCAGGTGGTTCATGATATAATCTTACTAAAGTCTCTTTTATTCTTCAGATTTATTGCTGTTTTTACTTAGGCCTAACTGGAGTTCATTTTTAAGATTTTTTGAGTAATGGTATAATCAGATATTGTATCTCATGAAATCTCTTGGATTCAGGGATGAATTGGATTTAAGCTTTTATTCTTTTTCCTCACTTAAAATTTTGTTTAATTTTTGATTAAAAGGCACAATTGAATGTTTATTTATAATTAAATATTTATTTTTACATCAGTTAAAAGCTGTAGTATTTACAACTAAATAAAAATATGGCACTGGCAAACATTCACTCAAACTTTATACAACAACATAAAAATATGGCACTGGCAATTCAATTCAACTTTATAGACTTATAGACAGGTTTTTATTTGATATTTATTATTTTACTTATTATGTTTCTATTTAATTTTTGACATGTAACTTTTTTATTTTTGACATGAAACTTTTTTATTTATAAAATTGATCATGGAAAAAGGAACTTTTTAAGAGATTTACTATTTAATTTTTCAAACTGTCAGAGAACTGTCAGAGCATTTAAACGAAACAGCGATAAAAACAAATTAGAAAGCTGAGAATATTCAGATTTATGTTGATTAAAATAACTCCAAAAAATATCATACTTAGTGTAAAAATTTATGTCTTCAAATATCTCAATTGACGTCAGTAATCTTAGAATTTTTGAAGTATACTTGCTGTCATTTAAAATCAAAGAGACTGAGCTGTAAAGACATTTATATATTTTTTTTCATAAAAATCTTTTTTAGAATGAGTTATTAGAGTTGCCACTGTTTCCTAAATACTTGTAAACAAGTGTTTACTTTTTACCATTTATTTGTTTAGGATTTATTGACGTCTCAGTTAACTTTATTAGTTTTCAAGTGCATATACTCTAATTTGCTAAATGTAAGTTTTAGTTATGAACAAACTGCAACTGACCTAATTTTTTCTTTCAGCCAATTGATTCTTATGCACTTCAAAAGATTTTCCTTCTACTTTTTTGAATTTAGAAAAAAAGCTTTGGTTAACTTTATTTCCATCAGTAATTATTGCAATTACTTTGACATTAAATACATCATTTGTTATGGGTACTTGGATTGTTATAGTTGGAGCTCTGATATCAAATAACTAACTGGTAAAAGTCTTGCTAGAAATTACTATCTGGTAAAAGCCTTGCTAGAAATTACTAACTAGTAAAAGTCTTGCTAGAAATTCACATTTGATCATAAACAAAAGTATAGTTAGGGCTTAAAAATCATTTCTTTATGAACATTGACTTTGGTATCAACACTTATTAATGAAAGTTAAACACTTAAGAGAAACATTCTGTTAAATAATATAAATAATAACTTAAATGATCTACTGAATCATTTTGTTTGCAAAAAAACCAGCATGAACCTATTTTTTATTAGTCGGTTATAAAAAAAAGGTGCACAATTTATAAACTTGCATCTTTATCATTCATGTGTAATGTTTTAAAATATGAAGTGATGAATTTTTTAAAATATGTTTATTTTATTTTGGTTTCTAGAATGTCAAATTAAACAAAAATATTGAAAACCTTTAACAATACAACTAGCAAAGGCAATTCCATCTCTCATACATTGGTCTGATCTTATTGTCTCTCCGAAAAATAAGACAACTGTACATAAAGAACTTTTCCTCTAATTCATTTTTTAAATCACAGTCTTCCTTCTAATCACTCTAGTTTTTCTTGCTAAAGGTATTTCCCATTTAAACTTTTCTACAACTTGTGGTCCAGACAACATTCCTATGACAGTTTTACAAATGTATTTTCAAATATTTTACTCTCATACAATAAATACTCTATTTCTAACTTAAATTCTAATCAAACAAGGGAACTTAAATCTAAATAAAAGTATAAATTTAAAATTTTTAAAAAACTCAACTCTCTATTACAAATATTTAGCAGATTCTCATTTATCTAAGTTTATAAGATTGAAAATGTTTACATAGAAACTTTAGAATGGTTACATAGAAACTTTAAAATGTTTACATAGAAACTTTAGAATGGTTACATAGAAACTTTAAAATGTTTACATAGAAACTTAAATTAAAACAGGAAAAGTTTATAAGATTGAAAATGTTTACATAGAAACTTTAGAATGGTTACATAGAAACTTTAGAATGGTTACATAGAAACTTTAAAATGTTTTAATTTAAGAAACTTAAATTAAAACAGGAAAAGTTTATAAGATTGAAAATGTTTACATATAAACTTTAAAATTAAAACGAGGAATTCAAAAAAAGAAAAATTAAGTTATAACTTTGAAAAAAGATTTTAAAGTGTAGATGCAGTTCATATACAGTCTGATATGAGCTGCATCTGCAGCTTGAAACCTTTTCAATCTGTATATAAAAATGAAAAAACTTAAATAAGAAGTCAAAAAAATGCAGAACCATACGCACCCTAATACCAGCATTTTTGTTTGCTTCTGCAACACCTATGTCTGCCTCTTTCTTTACATTAGCTGTCTGAGTCTTACCCAAAGAGTTTAAGTAATTTACATCATCAACAATATCTTTTATTGTAAAACTTAAAATTTCGATGCCCATACGTCCCACATCAGGAGAAGCTACTTCACGTACTAATGTTGCAAATGTATCTCGATCTAAAAAATTTGTTTAGAAAAAATTACAACATTAATGAAAAACAGGTGACTATCTGTGACAGAAAAAGAGTAAAAAACCAATTTTGATGATTTTAAGGGACACTCGTTTGAAAATTCTAAAACGACAAGCCATCTTAGTTTCAGAAAGATGAGTTTTTTTTAAAAACTTGCAAAAATGTTAAAATAAACAAACAATAGTCAAACAGAATTTTTTTAGAAAAAAAGTCTTCTAATGTATTTAAACTTTTATTATTCAATTTCAAAAAAATATTGTTTCTAAAGCAATTTTTTTTAATAATATAAATGGTAATAAAACAACTAAATTATTAAGTAAATTAATTGAAACTTTACTTCTAACTTATATCTTAACATAACAGTAAACTACAACAAAACTTACAACAACCTAAAATTTAATTGCTAACTCTAATTAAAATGTTAACAATTTATTGGATTGAATATGCACAGCCATGGCAGTTACAGTATTAACTTCAGAATCAAAAAATCTAAAGTTTAATGCCTACCCTGTTCATAAAGTAACTTTGGCAAGGAAGATAATAAGGACATCCTTAATATATGCTCTTCTGATGTGCTCTGTGACATTAGGTCTTTATAGAGCACCTATAGTACTCTAACCAGAACGTTTAAATATATATATATATATATATATATATATATATATATATATATATATATATATATATATATATATATATATATATATATATATATGCTTTTTAAAATAATAAATACCTAATAATAACAAAACCAATTAATACTTAAAAATAAAAAAAAATAAAATTATACAAAACTTTTTTGCAAAAAGAAATGGGTTGGTTTTTTTGAAACTTTAAAAACTTTGAAAAAAAATATTGTTTTTTTTGGAATTGCAGGGTTAAGAAAGAGATGTAACAGCAATACAAAAAAAAGCTTCCTTTTATTAAATAAATTTTTTTAAATTATTTTAAACTTCAAAAAAAATGTATTTACAAGTAAGAGCAAGCTCTTATTTGTAAACACAATTTTGAAAAATATGTACAATATTTCCTAGCACAGTGTAGAAAACATGTGCAATATTTCATAACACAGTGTGGAAAACATGTGCAATGTTTCATAGCACAGTGTGGAAAACAAATATTCAAAGTAAAACTCAATTTTTTAAACAAACCTTTTTATTATCTTATATGTATATAATTAATAATAAAAATATTTATACTATTATTATATTTTAAGTATAACTATTATATACTATTATATTTTACTTGAAAAGTATTTTTAAACTGTTTTTCATTTTTAAAGGAGCATATACTTTGAGAAATTATCAAAAGTTTACTTTTCAAATTTTTTGTTGTTTCCAGCCAGTAGCTGACAGTTAATCACCTGTTATTTTTTATGCTGGTAACATATTAAAAGACAATAATTATTAATAATAAAAGAAAGGTGCCAAACAAAAAAGTTAAAAATAAAATAAAAATTTAAAAAGGAAAAAAGAACAATTTTTTATTTGCAGAATTTTGAGATCTGTATAAATTTATAAAAATCAAACAAAAATAAGCTTGAATATAGTAACAAGGAAGAATGATATGAACTAATTGTTGGGAAAAACAATACAAATAACTCAAAGTACTAACTAGTAAAATAGCAAACATCAAATAACAACAAAATTTTTCAAAAAACTAAAAATAAAAAAATTTACCACATATAATGAACTGTTTAATAGTTAATTACCCTTGTATATTTCTTCTACAGTTAGTGTACCCAGAATGGCTCGCAAATGACCCTCAAGAGTTTGAAGAAGTATATTTTCAATATCTCTTGGCTGTTTTCCTAAAAACTGTTCACATGCTGTCTTGAGCAACTCATCCTCTTTAATGATTTTCACTTGAGCAACTCCTGTAACTGTAACAGCCACACCTTTTGCTGTTTCAACTTTATCGCAGCGAGGATTTAAAGTCATGACTTCAAGAGAAATACTAAAAATTTAATTAAACTAATTAAAAAAAAAATTGAAAATATTAAACTGAAGATTGGTTTCACTAGAAACATAAAAATAATAAAAAAATATAAAAATAGTAAATATAAAAGTAACTTTCACAACTTCATATGGCCATGAGTTTTTTAGTAAAATTCATGTGAATTTAATCTTAACTTTATCTTTCAATTCCTATAAAATCATAGTAGGTAAATGAAAGTTTTAAGAAGAAAAAATTAATTTTAAAAATAAAAAAAGGTTTTAATAGAAAAACATTCTTTTTGGCAAAAACAATGCATTGACTTCCTGTATTTTTCTTGATTTCATCAAATTATTTTTATCATCAGGTCTAATCAATTACTTACCTAATTTATAAAAAAATATAAAAAAAAGTACAGAAAATATTTTTAAAAAATAAACTCATGTCACTAGAAGAGACTTTTCTAGATAAAAACTTAATTTAAAAATTGTTTACAAGCAAAACAGAATAATTTAATGAATTATCTTTATTAAATTTTTATTATAAAACTTTGACAAGATAAAACGTTTTGCTTGTTAAAATATTATTATATCAATGTAAATATAAATATTTTTAAAAACAATTGTCTATTTAAAGAGCATATAATATTTCATACGATTGCACATCTGTTACACATGACCAAGCCCATGCCCATCCACCAACAATAGTTCTTTTATTTCTTTGACCAAAACAACCTCCTAAAAATTTAATAACAGAACAAGTTTATGTTGATTTATATATATAAAAGCTCAGAATATTTACAATTTAATAAACTTCTTACCTGAAACTACCAATGCTTCATTAGGACCAACTGTATATATATTTCCCATCTTAAATTTACTATTTTTTTAAGATATAAAATAACAACTATACAAAATAATAATGTAACAAAATAAATTACAATAATATTTTACATACTGTTATTAATAATAATAACAACACTGATTACATTAAAAATAACAACAATAATATATATATATATATATATATATATATATATATATATATATATATATATATATATATATATATATATATATATATATATATATATATATATACATATATATAATGTATATAGTAATATATATAATAATATATATAAAAATAACAAAAATAATAATAACAATAATGATAATACTAATAAAAATAATAACATTAAAGATAATGATAATTCAATTGATTTCACTTTTAACTAAATTTTTATTTCTTTTTTTATTTTGCTGACATGGCTTAAAAACTTAATAAATTATAATACATATACAAGAAAGATTAGCAACTATTAGTGACATTCATAAAAGTACATAAATGTATCACTTTATTTCTTATTCGTTATCAAGTATTTATTTGTACCATATGGTTTCATTATCTGTAGCAATATGAATCAATCTATGACCAAAATAATCCATATAAAAATCTGAACCATCAGCTGGCTTAAGAATTTGAGTAGCTAATAAAATAACATCAACAAACTGAAAAATCATGAAAAATCCAAGTGTACAAAACTTAAAAAGTCCAATTGCGGGATACCCTAAATAAATACGATCTATTCCAAATACCCCAAGGAATATTGATAGAAGCATAGCAGTTTTAAAAGACTTTCCTTTAACATAACGACATGGTTTTTTCTTATAAAATCCAGTTTTGTTGAAATCAGATGACATTTTATCACACATTATTCCAGGAGCAACTTGACACCAGACTTGGACCGTCCTGTTAGGTTGACAATCTTTTTCTGCTTGAGTATCAATGTTGATTTCAGGAGGTTCGCACAAATATTGACCAGGAAGTAAATTGTCACAGTTTAGTAGGTCGGCAACACGACAAAGGCATAATAAAATATTTATAAACAAAAGCATTTCGTATCAAAAAACCTAAAACACAAATAATTCGAAGAAAGGTGTAATGTCTCAAAACTATTTTTAAAAATTATCTACTACTTTATGTTATTACTTAATGTATGACGAATATAATGTTATTAAATCAAACGCTGGCTTGAGTCAAATATCTTACATTTTGCATATTTCTTATCTTAAGATCTGCGAAATGATATATTTTATATGAATATAATATTGCGCATGCGTTGTACAAACTATTTACGCCTTGCTCAAAAAGAACCGCCAATGGATTTATATTAGGGAATCCAAAAGCTTCCTTATGGCAATCAATTTTAAAGTAGAATGGTTAATGATAGTGACGTAGAGATTACATTACAGTACATTACAGTAGACTCCCGGTTTATAAACCAACATTTGTTTAAAGTAATTTTTATTGCCCGTGGAAACAGTGGGCCAGTGTTTAGCAAAAGTTGTTCAAAACGAAACGTTTTGAATTGAATTTACTGACTTTTTCAGACATTTGCATTCAACATGCAATAAATGTCAAAGAATGTTTCTTTTATAATGTACCTAATTAATTTTTTGTAAATCTTTCATAAGTTCATATATATGGTAAGTCCAGATTCAATAGATTAAATCAAGGTTGACGAAATGGGGGGGGGGGGGGACCACACTCACACACTTTTTTTCTATAGGACCTTTTTTTTTCTTTCTTCTCCTCCCCTTCGAAATCCGTTTCGTTGACCATAAGAATTGCTAACCTATTCAGACGATTACCAGTCATTCCCGACCTCAAATAAGATTTAACCCTTTTTAATGCTGAAAATAACCTTTCGGCAGAACAATGGACGTTGGGCAGCATAGATATACCTTTAATGTTATATCTACGTAAGGAAACAGTTCTTGTTTTTTTACGAAGTAAGTTTATCAGTTCTGATCGTTTACAAATATCTATAATTGACTTAGGCCTTATGCTTTCAGTTAAACTTGTTAGATAACTTCTTAATTGTATATACTCGTTAGCAATTCAAGACGAAAGATCATTTTTATATTTTGAAGTATTTCTGCTTTTTTGTAAAGGTGATTTTTTTATATTTAAAATATAAAGTTAACTTTTTTTATTTTCTTTATCATAACACAATTTTCTTCTTTCTCGTTCAGAATATAGTTTATCAATAACAGCATAATATGTGTTAATCTTTAAAGAGTCTCAAATTTAAAACTTTTCTTTTCCTTCTTTTTTTTCATCTGCAGGTAATTTTGTTTTTCTTTTGCGCGGAGAGATGGGGAGAATAAAACATTCAGAAGCATTTCTACAACAGTCCACAGCGCATTCACCAACTAGATTTAAAAAGCGTGTCGAGCATGGTACAAATGTAGCTAAAGGATTAAATTTTTAATGCGAGCTTAAAGTCCAGTATATCTCCCAGACATGTAAGACGCATTGTCGTTACTTTGACCACAACAATTTTTTATCTAATCCATGCGATTCTAAAACTAAAAATATAGCATCTGATAATTCTTCAGATTTATGACAAAAGTTGGGTAAAAACCCTAAAAAATTTTCTACAAGACAGGCATTCTTTAGAACATACAAAAAAAATGAATACTGTTGATCTAAATGGCTAATAGAATCAATACTCTGATGGAAAAATCTAAATGGTGAGTAGAATCAATACTGATGGAAAAATAGTTAGGTTCCTATATATATATATATATATATATATATATATATATATATATATATATATATATATATGTATATATATATATATATATATATATATATATATATATATATATATATATATATATATGTATATATATATATATATATATATATATATATATATATTTCATTTGTTGTATAACATTATCTGCCATAAAACCTATGGACTGCTCAGAATATTTACAATTTAATAAACTTCTTACCTGAAACTACCAATGCTTCATTAGGACCAACTGTATATATATTTCCCATCTTAAATTTACTATTTTTTTAAGATATAAAATAACAACTATACAAAATAATAATGTAACAAAATAAATTACAATAATATTTTACATACTGTTATTAATAATAATATATATATATATATATATATATATATATATATATATATATATATATATATATATATATATATATATATATATATATATATATATATATATATGTATATATATATATATATATATATTTCATATATATTATTATAAAATAAGTACGATTTTGAACCTTTTCTTTTATTGCCAAATTTTTCAATATGTTGTGCTAAAAAAAAATCAAACTAAGCAACGTGACAATTTTTTATCATATCAACGTTTTTGCATGAATGATTCGCGCATAATTTTGTCGCAAAAACTTAGAGATATTAAGTAAGTCTATGAGTAGCTCAATGATTTGGACATAATTATAATTTTAAAATTTTCGTGATAATGATATAAAATCACCATTTTGAAATTTTCTTAGATTAACATGTAGTTTCAGTTATTCCATATATTAGGATGACACAAACAATAAATAATCACGATATCGCGAGTTTACAATAATTTTGTTCTATCTCAACAAATCAAAAAAATTGAGTTAGATTAATTTTTTTTCATTTTATGGATAAATAGATTTTGTGACAAGCTGTGACAAGAAGCATTACTTATAATATATATTTTGTGACAAGGAGGGGTCTAAAAAGTTGTTTTTTTTGTGTGACATAACTTGCTAATGACCCCTTACTATACCTGACATTGCATTTTGTTCTATCTTGAATTTGTTATATCATAGTCAGGTCAGATTTAACCTGCTACTTGTAACATGTAACCCAGTACAATCTGCTTCATGTCCTGCTGCCTTGTAGGATACGCCTTTTTAGGCAAAGGCTAGGAGATGCCAACTCCGACATAAAACACCCTCTGCCTTGGGGCTCTTGGTTGAGTAAAAGCTAGAGATTGAGTCTCGATAATAATATTCATCTTGGGCAGATGTTAAACACATCCGGCAGCTGTCTTGTAGAAGGCCTCCTAAGCAAAGTCTTAAGGGGTACAGAGTCTATCTGTTGACCAGCCTCGCACCCCTTCTTCATCTCTTAGGCTGGCGCAGATGTATTTTTAATACATTGTTTCCAGTTTAGGATGTTGAATATTGGATCTTCTTGACTCAATGCATGGATTTTGCTTGTGTCTCTGTTTTTATGACTAGGCAACTTCTATTATCTCCTAATGAGGGTACAGCTCTAAAATTCAGTTTTATGGTTCTGAGGCCGGCTGGTAATCAGGTTTCCCGAACTCTATTGTAGCTTTCAGAGAAGCTGATTCCATCAACAGCTGAAAAATATCAAAGTATTAACAGTGCCATGTTGAGCATGGATGGTGTCCCTATTTGTACTTTTGGTGTGCATTGCCAAGGCCACATTGGAGCCTTTTGTTACGGCTTAGGGTTTATTAATAGTAATGAGGCAATTGCTTGGGCTATAAAGCAGTGTACTGAGTACTGTCTATGTTTTGAGTCAAGCTCTTTAACAAATTTAAAAATGAATAAAGTAACAAAAACTATAAAACACAAAAAACCACTGTCATCACCAAGTTAGCTAAACCTATCATTCACTAATATTCGTGGTCTTCGAAATAACTTTTCTTCTGTTGAGTCTTATTTCTTGCAAAGTTCACCAGACCTACTTGCTTGTTGTGAAACTAATTTGAGTTCAGCTGTCTCTTCTCGTGATCTTAGTGTTGATGGTTATCTTCCTTTAATTCGTAAAAACTCCAATAGTCACATGCTTAGGCTGGGCATTTACATACGTAAGAACTCACCTTTATGGCCTCTGATCACAGTTTGATCTCTCTAAAACTATTATCTCATTCTTCTTTATCATCAGAATCCACTATCATTGTACCTCTTATAACTACCTTAAAGCTGACTAGAACTATTTCCCTGACTTTTCTTCGTGATGGCCCTTGGATAGAAATCTTTTGTCTTCCTGTTGACAAATGTGCTTCTTACATAATTTCGTGGATTCAAGCTGGCATGGAATCCTTTATTCCCTCTCGACGATTTCAGTTCAAACCTTACTCTTCTCCATGGTTTTCCTCACATTGTGCTGCTGCAATTGCTAATCGAAACCATTACTTCGATAACAATCAGCAAAACAATTCTCCAGAAAACAGACGTCTGTTTATTACTGCTAGGAACCATTGTAAAATGATTTTGTCTGACGCCAAAGCCCGCTATTCTCAGGTCATGAAATCTCGTATCTCATCACAAAAATTAGGCTCTCGTGACTTTTGGAGAATCTTTAACAGTATCAATAATAAGGGCAAGTTTGTAATTCTACCTCTTTTTTATGGTTCAGACTTTTTCACCTCACCTAAAGACAAAGCTGAATTGTTTGCTAAGAACTTTTCATTAATATCATCTCTTGATTCCACTAGTTGCGTTCTACCTGACATAGCCGTCAAACAGGTTGATCCATTGCTTGACATTCGTATCATTAATGATACAAATGTCAAACTATAAAATATATAATACATATATATTTTTATATATATAAATATATATGCATTATATATATATATACATACATACATTCATACATATATATATATATATATATATATATATATATATATATATATATATATATATATATATATATATATATATATATATATATATGTATGTATATTTAATTGTTGATAGGTATAGTATTTTGTTAAAAGTACAGCTCTTGTCTGCTTAAGAGTGATCAATATTTCTTTGTAAAAAATAGATCGAATTATATTTATATAATTTAAATGAAAAAAATACAACTTTTTATGGAACCATTAGTTTCATGCCATTCGGCAATCATTCAGCCATATAATTTAAAATTTACAAAATAAAAAGCCGTTAAAAAATACAATTTTTTAGCGTTGCAACGGCATCTGACGTCAAGTTTACGTCAGACGATATCATGAGTTCCTTATCTCCGGTATCGAATTGTGAAAGTAGAAATTTTTTTTTATGCCTGCAAGAAGAAACCTTTTTTTTTAAGTAATGATCCTTGATCATTAATCATAATTAAATATTTTTCATATAAACAAAGATTACATCTTTTAGTTGATGGATTATATGATTGACCCTTTTTAATAATGTTCCACCTAATTAACGGTATAATATCTGCATTTTTATGTTTCCATATTTCTTTAGAAA